GTGTTGATATATTTATTTACTTACGTTCTGACCATCAACTTGGGGAAAACTTCAGTATATTAATGTGTGTGTATTATACTACGTGGACCAAATAATTATTGACTTCTGTATAGTCAAAAAACTATTCATTTTAGAAGCTTTTCACTTGCAACCCTTAGCATAATCCACAAGTACATTTGAAGTTTTCAAATATCACTTTCTAAGCTATAAGTCAAACATTTTGGTCACGCTTAATTTATGCAACCTGATTGAACCCCTTTCTTAAGTTTTCTTTTTCTTCCTATGTTCAGTTCTGGTGGATCTTTATTGATGGAACCCTATTTATATCTATCCTTCCATATCCAGTCTCCTTTTGAAAACTATCTAGTCTCTGGTTTTAAAATGAGCAATTTAACTATTTATCTGAACAACAATAAAAGGAAAAATTCTGATGCATCATCAAAGATGGCAAAGTATATAGATTCCTTACAAGACTGCAAGAAAAGTAAGATCCCAAGTCAGAGAAATAGCACAAACGATAGCCATTATTTGATGTAAAAGATATCCTCTCTCTCTCTGTTTTTTTTTTTAATAGGATAAAAATTAGATATTTATAATAAGATGTTTAGTTGTGATATGTTTCATCTTTTCATTCTTATTTTAATTAGAATATGATTTCTAGTTTCTTTATTAATTAGAATATGATTTATAATTTCTTTTAGATTAGGGTGAATTTCCCTTTAGCAACATGTGCAACAGAAATTGATGCTACTTGATTCTGAGATTGCTCCAAAAAGGTTCGAGTGATAGGTCGCCGCTCCTCTCTCAGCAATTCACCCAAACAACCATCCAATGTTGGAATGGATTCACGATTCATAAGACTGACCAGATGAGGTCAAATTTAGTTTGCAATTTCATGAAAAATTGATCCCTCTTGGTGACCTTATGAATAGTTTGGACAACCTCCAAACTATTAGGTGAAATCGAAGCATAGATAATTTCTGTGTACTTAAGAGTCCTACTTGAGAGTCCTGAGTAAAATTTGCCAATTCAATCTCCAATTGAAGCCGCCCGAGCATTGTTGCTTTGAGTGTAGACTTTCATCAAGTAATCCCACATAGCCCGAGCTGACTTGTAAGGACGAAGATTAAGAACAATCTGCGCATCAACCGATTTGATGATCCATGCCATAATCCGAGAATCCTTAGTTCTTTTTAGTCAAGCGAAAGCAAATGGAGTCAGTCTTTTCAGTTGACATGATGAACCCGTGTACAATGTAACCAATAAATTAATCACAACCCAAATAAATTTTGCCCAATCCAAACAACTTAGTCCAACAAATATCCAACTAAACTTAACAGCCAAATCCCACAAATATTCAATTAAACTAATAGCCCAACACAATTGCCAAAAAGAAATAATAGCCCACTATATTGGCCCAAAAATAGACTGTTGACTCACAGGGATAACATGCAGCGTCGAGCGAGAGAAAATTTCTCCGACCAAGTTCAACAATTGCGGGAAATCTATAGAGATGTCGGAAAACAACTTTCTCCACCCTGAATCCAACCCGACACGTTGGAAATATGGAGTGCACCTTCCAATAGCATTGAAAACGACGACTGACGACCACAGATGACTCTGATGAAGATGAACAGAGAACCTCAACCTTGATGACAAGTAATCGACCATCAGAAACCACGAGAGACGACCACGGGTGACGTCCTCGACTATGAAACTAAGAATTGAATGTTATCTCCCAACAAACTTAGCCCTACACTGCAACCGATGCTTGAGAAATAAGGTTAGGGCTCTGATACCATTCCAATTTTGCCGATCTTTCTCGTGTGTTGCTCTTTCTTTATAGAATGTTACAAGGCTAATTAAGGATGCAAAGTATACATGGAAACTAGCTATTATTTATAAGGAAACGTCTAATTAACTTCTAATAATAAACCTCTAATAAGAGCTTTGCTCACATGTTATCTTTCCTGGTGCTAGGGTTATTTGAGAGAACCATGTTGAAGGAACTCAGCAAAGGGTAGTCTTCCTGTTCAACTGCTGAATCATCTTTGAGGGTGATGTTCTAGGATTAGAAGGACCAAAACTAGTAGAAGAATACTTGAAAAGATAATTTCGCAATTCCTAATCTTAGTTTGAGATGCTGGAAAGTTCTTTCAGTTCTTTTTCTCCATGCAATTGGACTTGTTCATGGTCTCCCACTGTTGGTAGGTCATGGGTGCATGTGTACTTGTGCAGTTTAAAAGACAGCACTACATCGTTTTTTGATTTTTGTTTTATTTTTTATTCATTGTACTTGTTTTATTTTAGCAGCTGAACTCTTGCCACTATTTTCCTTTTCGCTGATTTATTGTGATTTAATGTTCTTTGTAGCATCGCGGGGAGAGGCGAGGTCTCGGGGGTATATTTTTTGATGATTTGAACGATTATGATCAAGAGATGCTTCTTTCCTTTGCTACCGGTAATTTCCTACGAGAGGACACTTGCTACTATGAAATTCCACAAGTTATAGCATGTTATATCTCCAATTTTTTCTTTAGGAAGTACCGAAAGTAATAAACTGGTGTAGACAAGCTCTCTGTATATGAGGCATACGCACTACTTTACAAGCTCTAAAGAAGGAGAAATTTATAACATTTTCTACTTTGAACTGGAACAAAAATAAAATGTCATATAAGGTGTAAATTGATTCTTATCTATGCTTGATGGATTTTGGATACCCTCTAGATTTGTAATTATGTCTAATTATTGCAGAGTGCGCAAATACTGTAATTCCTGCGTATATACCCATAATAGAGAAGAGGAAGGACATGCCATTTACTGAGAGACACAAGGCATGGCAGCAACTGCGGAGAGGACGCTATGTTGAATTCAACTTGGTAAAAGACTGTATTTAAAATTCTGACCAAATACCATGCTTAAAAGTATTCAAATTTTGCCCGTTTACTATTGAAGGCTTATGATCGTGGCACTACATTTGGTCTCAAGACCGGTGGAAGAATTGAGAGTATTCTCGTCTCACTTCCCCTAACTGCACGTTGGGAATATGACCATGTAAGCTTTTAATCAACTTTGTTTTCGGCTGGATGTTTCATTTTAAAAGAAAAGAGAAGATGATTGAAGTAAAATGACCGTTTTGTTTGTAGCAACCAGAAGAGGGGAGTGAGGAATGGAAACTGCTGGATGCATGCATTAACCCCAAGGAATGGATATGAGATTTTTCAATTAATGTTGCTGTGGTGAGTTTATTTGTGTTGGCTCGTCCTGTTTTATTTTAGTTATTTTCATAGCAATGTTGATATGGAAAACCCAAGTTCCTATTGGTACATTGTCGAGGTTTAAACCATCTCATCTGTGCACAATGAGGAAAGATTCCATTTGTGATATATTGTGTTTCGGTTGTCATCCTTCAAGAGGGCAATAATTTAATACACCGTGAAGCTTTCCAGCTGTGGCAGAAAATCCAAAATTTCCATCTGACTACAATCTGTGATTCCAGGATTTTACTACCACCTTGATTTCCAACTCCCATCCCGCTCGAATCACAAGTTCATCTTCAAGTGGAGTATAAATAGATAGAAATGAGTAACTAACAATTCTAATTGGAAAGTACACTTGAAGCGAGTAAGACGATAAGGAACGAGTTGAATTGAATTGAAGATATAGAGCATATTTAAATAGAGGATAAACAAGATCATTAATAAGATTGGAACCTATTCTTCTAAGGCTCAAAACATCAAATTGTTTTCTATCAATAAAAAGCATGCTATTGGATTCAAGCACAAGTCATATTGCAATATGAGTAAATAACAATTAGTAGTATATCCAAAGAGCATTGTACTGTAAACTACAACAGTTTTTCTTTGAAAAAAGTCCGGAAATGAAAAGCTATCGCACTTATCACATTACCGGTGGGGAGGCTATATATGCAAAACTGCCAGCAGCAAAATTTGATGAATGAAATGAAGAATCATGGTATCACTCTCCAAAAGCTGCCCTTATCACTCAAACAGGCAAACCATTCCCATTAGAGTAGCAAAAAAGCTAAACAAATAGGGTCAATGACGGGGCATTTTCCAGGGAGTGAAGTAGCAGCTTTTGATTGACAATGTTTTCTTTAATTTTTATTTAACTGCTAATGAGAAACTACGAAGTTTGTGTGTATTTTTTCTGCAAAACTGCATCCAGCTGGCTACGTGCTGCTGCTGCGAGTCCTGTAGTAAAAATGTTATTTTAGGGAATTTCTACTGTAAAACTAAACTATTATACACAGAAATTGAAATTTATAATTAACAAAGTAAATCTACACGGGACGAATTTTTGGAGCACCAAAACACGAGAAGTTAATGGAATAAGGCTTTCTTACTGTACCAAAAAACAAAACTTAGCGCATCGTAATCAACTGCTGAACAAACTAGTTTGTGCCTTTTTGGAGATGATTATGCCGTCACAGCACTATTCCTACTATATTCAGATAAGAAATTGGAATGACTAATTTGTAAATTGTAATCAGCCATTTATGGAACAAATTCAATGTAAATCTAGTATTTAATGACAAATGTCATCCGAAAAAAACCCTTAGATATTCATAAACGTTGAGTACATACGCAACAAAGATGGATCATAGAATTTAGCATACTAGTCAGTACTCACAACATTCCACACAACTCCCACCAGCAATACTCCCCAACCCCACACAGAAAATAGCATTCTACATGGCAATATAAAAGCCTAATTTTCAAAAATTGCTTATCGTAACCTGCTTACAATGCTAAAATCTCTGAAAATATCACTGAAATCAACTTTGGAAGGGAAAAAATGACAATGCAAAATTGTGTCTTCTTTATTCAGTCTCTAACTTTGATTCCCTTGTCAAGAAGCAGAGATAACTGCGGGTTTAACAGTTTTCATTTCCACATATTATTGGAAAGTGTATTATTAATAATTGGAAATGCAAAACTAAATCTAAACAAAGCCAGACATACTATAAACTTTTCACATCAGAGAAATTTAAGATAGCAACGGGAAGTACCTAAGACAAGAGCGGAAGGCCTTCCTGGTCCTGATTTAAACTCAGGGTGAAATTGAATGCCGACAAGGTAAGGATGAGTAGGAAGCTCAACAATCTGCACAGAAATTTGGTGATGGACTCAAATGCTAAAATTACAGAGGAAAGCTGCAATTAAAATTGACAGTCACTATGATGTGATGAAAAGAAGTACCTCCATGCGACGACCAGTTTCGCGTTTTCCAGAAAAGGAAAGACCAGCTTCTTCAAGTCGTGGAACCATATCAGGATTTACCTAGACAAGATCAAACTATTTTTTAACACAAAGGCATCACAGATACAAAAGTGAATTCAGAGAACTTAAATCTATCTCAATGTGAGCATAATAGCTAGAGCGTGAAGGTTCCAAGCACCTCGTATCTGTGTCGATGTCTCTCATCAATAAAACTCCTATTTCCATACCTGAGAAAAATTATCATTAATCCAATCAGATATAGTGCGACAAGTTTGACACTAGCAGATATGCAATTTGATCATTAAAGGTCCTTGGATAAAATTTCTAATTATCACAGTATCATACTTTTTCTCCTTGGTTTTAGAATAGTTTTCAAAGTACTTATATGGTGGCACTAGATACACATCTACAACTTGATTAAGCATTTCATAGAGACTGAATCTGTTGACCCCAAAAAATGTTGTCAACAGATGCCGGGCCCACTCTTGCCACGTCAAGCAATAATCCGGCACGTTCCTACCGAAACAAGAGCAGTAGCGTAGTTGGAAAGGGCGCGGGAGTTTCTTTCCGGCAAGAGACACAACTGTTCAAGCTCCGACAATTTTCTTTAGGCAACCCTTGCACTATCAACAAGGGGCGGATCGACTTTCTTTAAATGAGTGTCTATTTTGTTATGGAATATGTGGAATGATAGATAAGATCGAATGATGTTTTATGTTGGAATCTTGATATATTTGCTATGGTGTTTGCAAAATATGTAAAGAACAAAATATGTGAATCTTCTTCAATATCTGCCTTTCACGAGTATGAAGGTATTTTGTGTTTAATTGTTTGATTACCAAGATCCAACCGTCCCCAAATCTATACAAATGAAGACTATTTATACTGTCCAAACGACGTATTGATCGTCGGATCAGATCCACGTGGTAACATCTTCTAAACTGAACCCTCACATTACATTTAATATCTGATAGAAGTCAGCAGCACTAGGAATAGGCTGACATTACCATGGAAGAGTTACTTATACCTTTACGATAGACGTCCCATCAATCAATTCAAAGAAATCTTCGAATCTGTTGAGGTGACGCTGGCTTATGGGTTTCGAATGACTTTGTAGTAGTCTCGGATCGTGTTGTGTTTTGAGGGAGTGCATCAATCCGAGGTCGTTCACATGGGGCCTTCAACCCGAGGCTCCTTGGAATGAAGCCCATGCTATCTTCAGGGGATCCTTCATATCATGTTCGTGGCACATGACTTCGGCCTAATGCCTTACTGGGGTCTTTGACATACTGGGCCCCNAGAATGACGCTCTCTTAGAGCTTTGGAATAATAAGATGCTCTCTTAGAGTTTCGGGGTTATAAGACGCTCTTTTAGATTTTTGAGCTCTCTTAGAGCTTCGGAATAACAAGAAGTTCTCTTAGAACTTCAGAAGAATGACGCTATCTTAGAGCCTTGGAATAATAAGATGCTCTCTTAGAGTTTCGGGATTATAAGACGCTCTTTTAGATTTTTGAGCTATCTTAGAGCTTTGGAATAACAAGAAGTTCTCTTAGAACTTTAGACGAATGACGCTCTCTTAGAGCCTTGGAGGTGGGGTACGAACAATCATCAGTCTTGGATTAATGGTTGTTAGAATTTATTAACTTCTCAACCATCCTGAGATTCACGAGGCGTTTCAATCATGGAGCTTCAATGATTTGATGTCGTGGTACCTTCCCAAGAAAAACAGCTTGGATCAATCCAACTTCCAACACACGCAATGGCCGCCGCATTAAATGCACAATGATGGCCTTTTTCCATCTTTTCTACCAAGATTTCGAGCATGTGATGGCGCGTGTAAGCTACGTTCGGATCCTAGCCCTCGAAGGCCAAACGTCGGGTCTTATGAGTGGCTAGGATTTATGAATCTTGTTAATCCCTTGGATGGCCCGGATCGAGATCTGACGGCCAGGAATGAGTGGATTTCGCCTATAAAAGCCAAGACTTTGGAGAAAATTTCTTCCCTTACATGAATCTTCGCATCTTTCCTCTCAAACTTTTTCAGTCTTCTCTTTTCAAACTTTCTTTCTCTTCCCTTGTGTGTTCCATTCGTGCTTCTGCGAATCCTTTGTTTTACCAGTAAGTTTTTTGTCTTTATAAATTCTTGACATTGTGCTTTTATAGCTTTCTCTACTTCGGGGGATGACATAGATTTGACCCAACTGGCCACTGAGCTAGGGTTCAGATAACCAATACTGTCGACCTTAGGAGGTCCATTGAGGCGGGACGAGG